TCAGGTTTCAGAGTCAGCCAGGGCCATGACGCCCACCTGCAGCCCCAGTTTCCCTTGTTCGAGGAACGGGGATTAGGAGGACCTTATTAACTATCACCCCTAAAGACTTCATCAGGCCTGTCGCCACTGCAGACATCCTTGGAGAGCCTCGGGGGTCCCTGAAGTGTCATCCTCACAGACCTCAAGTGACAGAGCTGAGCGGAGCTATCATGGAGCCCAAAGGTAGCATGTTTTGAGTGAATAGAGTGAAAACAGAAACCAGTTAAATTAGCAGTTATGTCATGAATGGCCACTAGATGGAGATGTTCCTCTAGGCTAGGCTGGTTTAGAACTCACTATGTAGACCAGGCTGGCCTCAAACTCACCGAGATTTGCCTGTTTCTGCCTCTGTAGTGACCACGACTTCCCCTTTGTCTTGATATGCCTCTCCCCAGGCATTGGATTTCTCTAAGGTGGTTTTCCTCTGTTCTTGTGTGTGTGTGTGTGTGTGTGTGTGTGTGTGTGTGTGTTTCTTCCTTTTTGTATTTTGTGTCATTTCTTGTGAATTTGAATAGATTTTCTAGAGAATTCCAAACATGCATATAATATGTTTTGATCAAATCCGCCCTCCTCCCGGATTCCATCACCCCCAATTCCTCTCCTACTCCCACCACGTTTCCCTCCCTTCATATGCTCTGTGTTTTGAAACCCACTGAGTCCTCTCAGTGATGCTTTACATGCATGGATATAGGGCTATCTACTCGAGCATGGGTAGCCCCTCGGAGGCCAGATGCCTGAAGGAAACTCACTCTCCCTCCCCAGCAGCCTTTAATTGCCAGTAGCTCCTCAGGTAGGAGTGGGACTTCGTGATACCCTCCTCCATCCAGGCTGGGATTTTTGGCTGGTGTGATATTGTGTACAGTCAAAGTCCAGAAAGACGGTTCAGTGGGTAAGAGCACTGGCTGTGCAAGACTGAGGACCTGAGTTTAAATCCCCAGCACATAATGGGAAAGAAACAAAACAAAACAAAACAAAAACTGGGTATGACCACCCATGCCTGTGACCCCAGTGGCTGGGGGTGGGGAGTGGACCTTCAGGTCCAAGAAAGAAAGAAAGAAAGAAAGAAAGGTGTTAGGATAAAGCTTAAGGGGGTCCTTGGGTGGGAGACCATGGCAGATGAGGGTGACCAAGTTGGAGGGACAAATACTCCAGGCAGGCAGAGCGTAAGTGAGAAGTTTTATTAGAAAGGGGAGGCAGGGGGAAGGAAAGAGAAAAGAGGTAAAGAGACATAGATACTCGGAGAAAGGACAGAAGAGAAGAGACAGGAAGAGTCCTGTCTGCCCCAGGGGAACAAGAGGAAGAGAGCTGGAAAAGAGCAGAAAGAGAGGACAGCCAAGAGAGAAGAGCCAGAAAGAGAGTGTAACTGGGCGGAGGTCTTTCTTTTAAAGAGGTCCTTTGCACCTACGTGCAAACTAGTACTCATGGAACCCTGGGTTGACCAGGGTACTGCCTGAGTGCATTCTTCCAGGTGACAGAGGCAAGCCAGCATAATGCCTGAATTCTTATGGAAGGAAGGGAAGAAGGAAGGAAGGAAGGAAGGAAGGAAGGAAGGAAGGAAGGAAGGAAGGAAGGGAGGTGGGAGGGAGGGAGGCAGGCTGCTGCCCCTGCCGCCCCGTC